TCTTGGTCTGGATCTAATTCTGTGTTGATGTAAGCTCCCAGATATTTATATTTTGTCACTCTCTCTATTTGCTGTCCACCAAGAGTTAGTTGTTCATTATTTATTGGACTCCTTGATACTATCATAAATTTGGTCTTATCTGTGTTGATGTCAAGTCCCATTTGAATGCATTCACTATTTATTGCATCTAGTAAAGTTTGTAGATCTTCTATACTCTCAGCCATAATTACCGTGTCATCTGCAAATCTCATGGTGTTTATGATTTCTCCACCAATTCTTATTCCCTCTTTTCTTTCCCATAAGGCTTTTCTGAATATGACCTGTGAGTACACGTTGAAAAGCGTCGGAGACAAGACGCATCCTTGCCTAACCCCTCTCGCAATCGGTATATTATTTGTTTCTATATCGTTCACCTTTACTACTGCTTTCTGGTTCCAGTATATAGCCTTAATAAACTCAATGTCTTTTTTGTCTAAATTGATGTTTTTTAATTCATCTATTAACTTCATATGCTGCACTCGGTCAAAGGCCTTCCTAAAGTCTATGAAGCATACATATGCACTCTTGTTATATTCCCGACATTTCTGCAAGAGTACCGTCAACGCAAATAATGCCTCTCTTGTACCCATGCCTCCTCTGAAGCCAAACTGAGTTTCATCTATCTGTTCCTCACATTTCTTATAAATTCGGTTTTGAACAATTTTCAAAAGAATCTTTAAAGGGTGGCACATTAGGCTTATCAATCTATAGTCATTACATGATTTGGGATTGTTGTTTTTTGGTAGAGGTAAAAATATCGATTTAAGCCATTCTTCCGGGATGTTGCCCTCTACATATATGTGGTTGAGAATTCGGGTGAGTCTCTTTATATTACCGTCATCTAAGGCTTTTAACAGTTCAACTGGAATTTGATCAGGACCCGGTGCTTTTCCTTGTTTTGCATTCTGTAGGGCATTCTTTACTTCTGAGGGTAAAATTTGTAGGTATTGTTTTTCTTCACCTATATCTTGTTCATTTTCTCTCTCGTCATGGAAAAGATGGATTATATATTGTTCCCATACTTCCTTTATTTTGCTCTCTTCAGTAAGTATTTCTCCATTATTATCTCTTGTTATGAGTGTTCTTCTTTGTCTGGTGTTGCCTGTAAGTTCTTTAATTTTTTTATGTAAGTTTGAGGTGTCATGTTTGTTGCTGAGTTCTTCCAATTCCTGGCATTCTTTGTTCATCCATTCCTCCTTAGCCTTTCTGATTTCATATTTGATTTTATTCTTGATGGTTTTATATTTATTTTCATCTTTATTTTTGTATTTTCTTTTTTCAGTTATTAGCTCAACTATTTCCGGTGTCATCCAGTCTTTTTTAGTTATTTTCTCTTCTTCGCCTAGGACCTCCTTTCCCGCTTTTAGTATGGCTTTTTTCATATCTGCCCATTCAACGCTTCCTTCAGTTAATTTATTTATCTCTGCGTTTAGTTGCTGTTGGCAGTTGTCGTCTTTTAGGTTTTTGATGTTAATTTTGGTGGTTTTAACTTTTTTCTCCGGTTTCCTGAGTTTAATGTTGACGTTTGCTAGTAATAGATTATGATCCGTATCTGCATCTGCGCTTGGATAGGTTTTTGCACTTTGTACTCCATTACGAAACCTTTTGTTAATCGTTATAAAATCTATTTGGTTTCTGATTATATTGTTGGTGTTATCTTTTGGAGAAGTCCACGTGTATAATCTTCGTAGGGGTAGGTCGTAGTATGTATTTGTTATGACTAATTCTTTCTCCTGGCAGTACTGGACTAGTCTGTCTCCTCTTTCGTTTCTTTTACCTAACCCAAAATTTCCTACTATATTTCCAGTTTTTCCTCGACCGACTTTAGCATTAAAGTCGCCCATAATTATTTTTACCTCCTGCTTCTTTATGTTTTTTGTTAACAGTTCTAAGTCCGCGTAGAATTTTTCGACCTCAGCATCATTGCTATCAGATGTTGGAGCATACACTTGGATTAGATTTATGTTTAGAGGTTTGGCTTTCAGCTGAAGTAGCATCATACGTTCGTTAAAGGGAATGAAATTTGTCACAAACTCTTTTAAGTTATTGTTGATAATAATACCAACACCATGGCTGTGTTCTCCAGTGCTTTTGCCTGAGTAGAAAATAGTATTATTATCCTTGGTGTAGTTTCCAGACTTTGGCCATCGGACTTCTGAAAGGCCCAATACTTGTATGTCTAATCTCTCCATTTCTAACATGACTGTTGTTAATTTTCCTGCTTCATAAAGTGTTCTTATATTCCACGTTGCTATGCGTTTTAAATCGCTTACACTAAATTTGTTTCTCCACCCGGGGATTCTTCGCACCCCTGTCCCATTAAAGGGACGCCGGGCACTCGGGGCCACTGTTTGATTTACGTCCATTTGTGGTTGTTCTTGAGAATCCTTAGGGATCTTTAATGCAGTGGTTTCTCCTTGCTTTCTGCATCCTTATGCCGTTGATCTTGGTTCATCCGCCTTTGTGATCGATTTCTCAATCTCAGGGCAAAAGAGTGCCCTTCCACTTACCAACTCATCCGCCCGAAGCCGTTGGTCAGTAAGTGGGGATTTGCTTATACCGGCAAACATTCGGTGATTTCGCAGTGTCACAACCGGTTAAATCATAATTACCGCCTGTGATTATTCAGTATCAGACCGGTAAAAAGATTTTCTCTACCGCTCCGATCCTGTAATGACATAGCAGCTGTCCTATGCCATGCTCTCAGTTGATCCGCGGGTGTTTATTTGGCAGAGCCTTATTCACACCTGCCCCACATATCTGTAGGACGTTCGCTATCAGCCATTGGGACGCGCCGTGTTGAGGTTGAGAACTACCCCCCTCCGAGTGTGTTTTCCAAGAAGTACTGAAGAGCCCCTACTCAATTCAGAACTCCTCCTTCTTGGAAACTACACCGGCACGGAGGGTAACACTAAGTAACCTTAAAGAGTCAACATCAAAGAAGTACTTGGGAATGATCAGGAAAAATCTACGTTTGGCAGTTGGTTTTTTAACTGGTCATTGTCAACTAAGCAAACACCTCCACACACTGGGGCTAGTAGACACACCACTATGTAGGAAGTGTGAACGAGAAGACGAAACTGTAGAGCATGTCCTATGTGAATGCCCAGAGTTATCGTTAATACGAGAGTACGCGTTCGGCGATTCCTGGCCCACACCTGCCCACATAAGTGAGATGTCTCCTGGTGACTTGTCCGCATTCCTAGAAATGGCAGGATGGACAATGAGCTAAGGGTGACAGCTCCCTGGGAGGATGCACAATGGGTCAATTGTGGCCTAAGTGCTGTGAAACTTAACTCGCACTCCCTACTCTACAGATACAGATGGGGAGAATGAAATCAACGAATCAATAATTATTAGGCTATTAACAATGTTATTTTCATTGACGAATTTTATTGCCTTAAGAATGGCAAATAGTTCAGCAGAGAATATAGTGAATTGCTTAGGGAGTTGAAATGACCGTTCTTCGCTGGTTGTTACAAATGCAGCACCCACTCCATTTTTCGATTTTGACTCACTAGTATAAATGTGGATGGACTTGTGATGACTATTTAACTTCTCTAAGGCTTTGGTTTTAAAGAGATATAATAAAGAATAAGATTTTTTAACTGATATAAGACTAATATCGCTCTTTGGGAGAGATATTGTTCATGGTGGAGGATTATCAGAATTTGTAAGTGTGTATATAGGAGGTATTTATGACCAAGCTTGTAGTTAGCGGTAAAATTCTGATTGAGAGTCTTAGCAGTTACCAAGTCATAGCTAACAAATATCTAGGGCATCAGATTCGCTTAGGCCGAGATAATCAGATAACTGAAATACAAAGACGGATATGTCTCAAATGGGCTGCCTTTGGTAGATTAAAAAACATTTTCAAGTCTATTATCAGAGATTCTTTAAAAAGAAAGGTTTTTAGCCAGTGCGTTTTACCGCTTCTTACATATGGTGCAGAAGCACTGACTCTGGCAAAAAGAACAATAGATAAAATAAGAGTTACACAACGCGCTATGGAAAGATCAATATTAGGTATTACCATCAGTGATAAAGTACCTAACCTAGAAATAAGAAGAACAGGAGTCAGAGATGCAGTTGAAAAAATAGCCATGACTAAATGGGCTTGGGCCGGACATGTTGCCAGATTAACAGATGATAGATGGACCAGAAAGACTCTGGAATGGCGGCCAAGGCAAGAGATATATCGAAGCAGAGGACGATCACCGACTAGATGAACGGATAATATCAAGTGCATCACCACAAACTGGATGCAAGAAGATCGTGATAGAAATAGGTGGAAAACTTTACATGAGGCCTATGCTCAGCAGTGGACAAATATATACAAATTGATGATATAGGACGTACAGTGATGTCTAGGTTATTTAGAATTGTGCTGACTCTTCTTCTTCTTACAGTGCCTTATCCTTAAGGACGTTGGCCATTACATTTGTCCATTTAATCTTTGCTGACTAGATGATAAAATGGTGGATACAATCTTCTTCTTGACTGAAACGTCGAGAAAAATCTGTCAGCGTATATTTTCTCTCTTTTTAAAGATATAAGAGAAATTAAAAAAAAATAAAATGTTTACAAAACATGAGACACATGGTTTCAATGTAAACCCACCTTGTACCTTGTCCTCCCTAGAGGGTGTCTCAACCTTAACGTAGGAAAACATCTTTTTCTTCTACCCGGTATAAGCTTAGCAGAGCAGTTTTAGTACACTTATGACTCTCAGAGGCAATACCAAAGAAAAATCTTAAATAATAAAAAAAAAAATAGCGAAATATGTTAACCCGTTCATGAGAAAATCAACTATTAAAATAAGCATAATTTTTGATGTTACAAAATTTTGCGGTTACGTTTATTTAAACAATAAAATGTTTTATTTATAGAGTGCATGCAAATTCTTGAAGAACAACACGAAAGTGACGCGAATCAATACAACAACACTGTGGTATGTACAGGCCCAGTTACTGGAGGAAAAGGTGCATGTTACGGTGATTCTGGTGGACCTCTAGTTCAAGACGGTGTTCTAATTGGAGCTGTATCTTGGGGTACACATCCTTGTGCTCACGATGGTTCAGTCACCATATACACAAAAGTTAGTTCATACATCGACTGGATTAGCGAGAACATAGATGAAACGATGATTTTTGTTTAAAAACATAAAAACATATATACGTATATATGACAAAATAAAATTGATTATACTTAATATTGCATTTTTTCTATTAAATAATATCTCAATATAGGCAACCAATGTTGCTAAAATTTGGAGAAAAGTTGACACACTAAGATTTGTGGGTACTTATTACTTGAACTTATTTACCCGTAACCATATACGTCATATATTATTACCATTACTACAGATGTAGGGTCTCTCAGAGCCAATGACTTTAATCTATTTATTCTAAAAGACTATTGTTGCGAAAATAAAAAAAAAATAAAACATAACGTATCTGGCATTAATTGCTTATTAAAAAATATAAAAATCAATGCTAAAAATAGTAAGGGAGAGTGTTGTACCTCGGACCGGGTTGTACCTCGGGTCAGTTGACTTTCTTTCTTACCCACTGCAGATTTCTCTTCGATTTGGTTGAATTAGTGGTTTAATAATATCAGCGGTAGATGGCATCTAAATACACTTATCAAAAAATTGCAGCGTGGTGACTTGCAGAGCGTTTTGTGTTTTGTTTGATCGTAAGTAAATTATTTACCTATTTGTTATCTGTTAAAATCCGCTTCAAATGTAAATATATATATTTTATTATTATCTGTAAGGGACAATATATATTTACGCTTGATAATCATGAATGTATTTTTTGTCTAAACGCATAACCTAATATTAGAAAACAAAAAACAGCTGAAATTGTTACGTTGTGTACCTTGGGTCACCGGTAGGTCGTGTACCTTGGACCGGACCAAGGTACAATCTTATTGCGAATTAACATTATTTTGACTTTTATTTAAATTAATTGGTGTGTCTGTTACCAAAAAAACCTTTTATTATTGTTTCAGATAGTCATTTTAAAATGCTGAGAAGTAAAGTGGGTATCAAAAGACCACATTTAAATGCCCAGGATTTAACTGCAGCCGCAAATAAATGCATAAGTGGTGAATTATCAATTAGGGAAGCAGCAAAGTGCTATAACATATCAAAAACCACGCTGAGCAGGCACGTAAAATCCTTCAGGCAGTCGGGGGCTTCAGAATTTTCTTATGTTGCTGCCAATAATGTAAAACAAGTTTTTAATAAAGAAGAGGAAGCTGAGTTAAAAATATATCGTCTCACTGCTGCACGCCTCCACTATGGTTTGACGAAAATGGAAGTTCGTACTTTAGCATACCAGTATGCAACTGCAAATAACAAGTCTCATCTGCCTTCTTGGGACCAAAAAAAGATAGCTGGCAAGGAATGGCTGAGGCAGTTTCTTAGAAGACATGAAGATTTATCACTTCGTTAACCAGAACCTACAAGTTTGGCCAGATCAACATCCTTCAATAAAACAAATATATCTTCCTTTTATAAGAACTACAAAGAAGCTTTGTCTCGTGGAGATTTTTCCCCAGAAAAAATTTGGAATTGTGACGAGACAGGGTTAACGACTGTCCATGTACCACCAAAAATTGTAGGACCTAAGAGAATAAAACAATTAGGTCAAATGACAAGTGGAGAGCGAGGTCAAAATGTAACCTTGATAGCCTCAATAAATGCAATCGGAAATCATATTCCGCCAATGATGATATTTCCGAGGGTTAATTTTAAGCCTCACATGCTAAAAGGTTGTCCAGTTGGAACTATAGGAGGTGCAAATCCGTCCGGCTGGTCAAACGAAATATTGTTTTTGGAATACCTACAACACTTTAAAAATCATGTGAAACTAACAGTTGAAAATCCAGTTATATTACTTTTGAATAATCACGATAGCCACGTAAATGTAAGTGTCATTAATTTCTGTAAGAAGAATGGAATTCTACCGATAACGTTTCATCCCCACACCAGCCACAAAATGCAACCTCTCGATCGAACAGTTTTTGGACCGATGAAAACTTACTATAATACCGCCTGTAGTGAGTGGATGATTATGCACCCTGGACAACCTATTACGATTTACGATATAGCCGAACTTGCAGGTAAAGCATTTCCAAAAGCATTTACTACATCTAATATCCAGAAGGGATTTGAGGTGAGCGGTCTCTATCCCGTCAATGAAAACATTTTTGAAGATAATGAGTTTCTGTCTTCGTATGTAACTGATCGTCCTTTAAACCAGCTTACTGACAGTCGCGAGCAAGTCAATGTTGAACAGGACGGGGAAAAAACTGAAACTACAGTTAATGAAATGGAAGTCTCTACTCCTTCTACCTCAAATATTCGTCAAGCAGGAACTTCAGGAAGTTCTATTACACCTGAAATGTTGCGACCCTATCCAAAGGCACCTGTTCGCAAATAGAAGTTAGGAAGAGCAGGAGGAAAGTCACGAATACTTACCGACACTCCAGAAAAAGATGAAATAGATACGCTTAAAAAGGGAAAGACGGTATCATTTGAGAAAGTGCAGGCAGTTACAAAGCAAATAGCGACAGAAGATATACAAAATGTGCCAAAGAGAGCTGCTAAGTATAATAGTGAATCAAGTTCAAGTGATGGAGGTACATTTGAGGACTTGGTAACTAGAGAAGAAGAATTATTAAATGACCAAAAAATATATGACTTATCTGAAAATAACCAGATTAAAAAAGGAGACTTTGTTTTAGTGAAAGTGGCAGGGAAGAAATCTTTTGTTTATTATGTTGCCGAGATACTGAACAGTGGAATTAATAATGAACTTAGATATTTACGTAGAATTCTAGATTCCAATAAGTTTATAAACGACTCAACCGAGACTTATGATTTTTTACGCAATGATATTGTACGTAAACTTCCACAACCGCACAAAATAAGCGGAACTGCACGTCACGCACGAAATTTAATGTTAAATTTAGCGGATTATATTTTTATTTACTAAATTAATCATTAGTTAATCATAATGTTCTGATTATTTTGAGATATTCAATAAATCATTTCAAGATTTGTTCTATTTTTTTTTTATAACTGACCCAAGGTACAATATAATGCTGGTCCAAGGTACAATAGATGCTGGTCCAAGGTACATTACCAGTTTGTACCTTGGATCAACATGCAAGGGCCTGCTAAAATATATTTTTTAACTAACTACTAAGCTTAAAATGTGTCAATAAAAAGAAAGCATGTAGCCAAATAGACAAAGTAACTAATGCATTGGATAAACTTTGCAAATATATAATTTTAGGATTTAGAAAAAAATAAAAACTAAAAATTGACCCAAGGTACAACACTCTCCCCTACTTATCAACACAAACTAATAAAAAACTATTTTATTTATTCAAATTAATAGTGTGTCTTTCAATAGGGACTTCCGAACTTTAACAGTTAGTAACTAGCTTGTGTCAGTGGTTCAATATTTATTAGAAAAAAATTAGATATTGATACTGATAGATATTAATAAAATCCCTGGAAGTCTTCTAAAATAGCATAAGGTATACGTGGGATATGACGCGTTTCAAAATCTTTGAAATTCTGCATGCTCGCGCAGAAAAGGTCTCAAAAGGCAGTAGTACCTATCATCGCCACCAGGTGAAGCATGCACGTATTGTGTACACTTTTGCAGATATAGGTACACCATAAACATTTAATCTTACCATCTAATTTCAAAGTTTTGTATTTTGTCTTCTTTTAAAATGTTTGGTTAGTTTAGTGGATTCTATGTTATTGCGAATTCTTTATAAGTAATGACATGACTTATTTAGACATACAAGTATAGTCGATATTGTTTACTATTTGCTTTTTTTTCTACTTAAATGGCGTAGAGTTGGGAATATGACGCGTTGTTGTTGCGTTATAATAAAACATTATTTCTAGTTTAAAATGACCTTCATAAATGAAGTCTTCTTCAAGAATTGACTAAAAAACCACTTTATCTCAAGAAGGACTAAGCTGGTCCATACCTATTACTGATCGACGAATATAGATCACTCACTAACTCGTAAACGTATTAGACGTAGGCACTTTCTTTGTCTTCCTAGCCACACAACTCATTACTTACAGCCTCTTGACTGTTCCTCTTCAAATCATTGAAGGCCTATTACCTACGTGCAACTATTGAATGGGGAAATGTAAATCCTGGACAGAATATATAACGCAGGCCCTTGATATAATACAGAAAGCCTGGTCACAAGCTACAACAATGTCTACGAGTTTGGCAGGAATCAGGGCCTACGGTGTGTTCAAATTCACACCCTCCTCTACTTCTGATAACGCTTACCTACAAGTAGTCTGGAATCCAACTCTATGGACAAGGACGACGCAAGTGATAGATCAGCCTAGGATCCTAAACCAAGCCCATCTAGTTCACTCTCCCTACATACTAAAAAGGAGCAACCCACTGAACCCCATTCTCATAAAAACACAGAAGTAACTAATACGAAAATTGTATCACCAGTGTCAAAATGTGATGCTCCTATGGTCCTGATGCTAATAAGGCCAAATGAACAATCAAAATTACAAAGCACTTACTTCAAGAAGAAATGCCATCATCATCTGGGGGAGAGTGAGACAAATGTCTCCGATGTTGAAGATTTCATGACGAACTCCTCCGATGACGACTACATAGTTGAGTTTCCAGGAAAGAAACTTTCCAGGAAAGAAATATTATATTATGTGGGCGTAGTCATTAGAATCAATAACGATGGCATGAAGGTTAACTTTATGAAGAAAGAAAAGGTTAAATTCGTCTTTCCATTACCGAAAACATCGACATGGTCAAAATGGTTCAAATTAAGAAAATCATGCCAAAACATATGTTCGTCGTGGACACTTCAATTGTGTTATTAAATTCTTATTTATGTTTATGCTATTTTAGAAGACTTATTGAGTCACTGACAAGTTAGTTTTATTAAGTAGCCACTGCATCATTTACACTGTGAGCCACTGTATGTCAAAATGGCTGTCATTTATTCAGTCTGTGTTGCCAAATCACCATGGCTTACAAATAGACGTGTTCCATCGGTGTTCTACACGAAAAACGATAAAAATTCGGAAGTTACAATATTTCGGTCATATAATGAGACATCCAGAGAGGT